AAAGCTCTGAAGCTTGTTCTTATGACAGGCCTCTCCTGCTGAACTGAATCTCTGAGCCACTGTTCAGGGGCAGGAAGCAAGAACATTTGTCACCAGCAAGACCCACCTAAATTCAGGAAACTCCTAGAAGCTTCTGCCTAAGTATCAATTTTATCTTTTAGAAACTTACTAATGAGTTGCTGGAATAGAAGAAACATTTTGAGGATGACCCCAGGAGGACATCTGCACAGACGAATTATAAAGTGCTGGACAGTCACCTCAGCCTCATTATAATGTTAAAATCCCCACCCTGACAGGAACATCAGCTTCATTAGCATAACATGCATGTACATACAGGCATGTTTTTTGAATGAACTTGTGCAAATTTATGCCTGTCCATTATATGTGATGATGAGGCCCCCTCCTCTCAATACTCATCCCAAACCCTAATAAAAGGAGCTTGCCTTGTCCTGTTGGGGGAATCAAAGTTTTTGAAATTATTCCCCATGGTCTCCTTATATGCTGCAAATAAAGCAGACTCTGTGAGGCAACTCCAATTAGTGTAGTCTATGTCTGTAACTCACCAAGGAGCAGACCCACATTGGTTCAGTAGCTCAATGACACACTACTATCAGAGTAGCACCCTTGGTTTGTGATTGGAGTGCTGTGTGGGGAAAGTAACTTCTAATGCTTTCAGATTATCTTACCCAAAATATACCTCCACCCTATGAGTAAGCTGTGGAAAGGATGATCAAAATCCCAATATTTTTGGCCTTCCACACCTGTGGTAAGCCTCTGGTTCATGAGTCAAGTCTGGGTGGAGAAAAAGAGTTCCTGGCCCCTTGGCCTCATTCACTTGGAATTTAGTTCTACAACATGTAGATGAGGGAATGAAAAATGCCAACTCACCACCCATCCTAGAGAAATATCATAGTCCTTAACTGGGAGCTGGACAGAAAGGGAATCCCATTTTCTTGGCCACATTATCTTCATGTGGAGTTTCCATTAGTTTGAACTATGTGTGTGTGGATGGGAGATGAATTGTGTCTCAAGTACTACTGGATGCTCTTACCAAGGTTTAGTAGATTTTCCTGAATCAATATTTCTTCATTTATTGCATATACTTTGAACAATTTCCAGAAAATAAATTTGCATAGTTAAGAAACAATCAACAAGTAATGATTACTTTTTAGGGGAGCTAGTCCACAGAGCTCAAGTTGTAATTCTGGTACTGGAATTATATCAGATCTCTTTACCACAAATATGTCTCTGTAATTATTTAGTTTTTCAATATATTCATGCGGTCCTTCAGCAGCTACTTGGTGACAGTCTTTGAGTATGGCTCCGAATGAAGGAACAAATGTGGCAGAACAAATGCTAATATCTGAATCTAAGCATATACAATGTTTCTATAAAATAACAAACAAATGGTCTTTATGAAATTAAATATTGTTTTGTTAATATATTTCCATAGGAATCACTGTCAAATAAAAGGAAAAATAAATTAATAGGAAGCATAGCATAGAGGTTAAGAACAAACGGTTGGAAACAAGAGTCTTTGTTTTTGAATACTAAGTCTGGCCCTTAATGGCAAGTTAGTTGATCTCCCTTTATCTCTGTCACCATATCAACACAACAAAAACAATAAGAGTTCCTACCTTCTAGGGTTTTTGAGTTAATATACAAAACACTTAGAGTAGTCACTGGCATGGAGCAATTTTTAAATAAATATTTTCAATTTATTTTTAATAATAATGAAGCCTACATGATGGAATTCAATCTGTATGTACAAAATTACTCAAGTATTCCTTTCCAGCACCGATTAATTACACTAAACTTACTGTGGCTGTTAAGGCAATTAAAAATGTGATTGTTAAGGACAAGGGTTCTTTGTAAGTTCAAAAAACAAGTAATTGCAAGGAAAAGCTAACTTGAGAAATTGCCACTCTTTTCTTAAATGCATCCCTATTTTTTTTAAAGCTATAATTAACTTATACTGTTCCTGAAGTCAAATATCGTCTGTGGTCTTTGAAAAGAAATTAAAATCTTCTAAAAACCAAAAAGTATAAGGCAGTTGAAATCAGAATCTGCCTTTCATCATCTCAGTGCAAATGAAGACAGGTTTAAATGGAGCATGGACCCTATATGGAGAAGAGGATCCTAGAGAAAAAGGGCCAAGGATCACCCACAAGAGACATGATAGACTGTTTCTGATGTTTTGGTTCTTGTTTTACCTGGTAGTTTTCCTTTCTCTATTAATGCTTACAGTTTAAATTAACTGACTTCTTTTATCAAGGATTAAGTAAATATTTAAGTTAATGATTTAAATGTAAGCATAATTTTAAAAAATTCTTAATTTCAGCTCCTAAAGCTGATCCTGTGTAAATATCATGCCACTCTTCTCAGAAAAAAACACATGAAGTGGATACATATTTTTCAAGAGGCTTAATCTGGAGTTGGAAGAACTAGTGTCTATAGAGGAACTTCAAATAGTGATGTAAAGTAGAAAACAGACTTGTAAAATATGTAAAGAATTTTCACTGTGTGGGGCATCTGGGTGGCTCAGTTGGTAAGTGACTGAGTCTTCATTTAGGCTCAGGTCATAATCTCAGGGTCATGAGATGGAGCCCTGAGTTGGGAATCTGTACTCAGCAGGGAGTCTGCATGGGATTCTCTTTCCTTCTCCCTCTGTCCCTCCCTGTTCACCATGCTCTCTCTCTTTCTAAAACAAATAAAAAACCTTAAAAAAAAAAAAAAAAGAATTTTCACTGTGTGGATAAATGGGTGAGTGATTTATAGTATCCATTTCTTTCTTAGGACAGAAGAGTTTGGCCTAAGAATCTTTCTGGGTTATTGGTGTCTGATTGTCATCTGTCAGTGCCATGGAATCACATTGGTTTGGGATGCCACCAACGAATTATCCTGACTTTATACCTGGAAAGATGTAGAAAGAAATATTTCCTGTGTGTTTAAATGATGTCTCTAGTTCTCTTCTTGAGTTCTATTATACCTACTTTTATTAAGAAATATTGGATTTCTCCAGTAAAAATGTTACTCTGAAAATGATTTTAGAATTAGAAATCTTACCTTTCCATTGGTTTCCTTCTTGTCTCAACTATTTTGCTGCAATATACAAACAACAAAATCTGTTCTGGCTATATGAAACCATTTAAATTTTATATTTTACAGTTTTAAAAGCATTATTTTAACAAAATGTGTCCAGAAAATTGACAGTTAGAGGCCAGGGAAATATTTATATGTTCTCTGAGTGAAAATAGGATATGAAGTTCCTTCAGCTACCTAAATATTTATTTTTTACCCTAAAAAAGTAGTTTGACATTGCATATGGCTTCCCTTTAACTAGTGCCTATCTGTTTACTCAGAAATCAATTTTCCTTTCCTTCTCCAACTTGATAACATGTCTTGTTTGCAGCTGGCACCATTAGATTTCACTGAAAAGTGACTATAGTGGAATTCTCTAGGCTGTTTGAGATCAGTGTTAACAGACTTTAATATATAACCAAATGTTTTGTAAAAATCAGTATCCTACTTGAAATTTGCCTGAATATCATTATGTTATTATGGTATCACCACCTAAATGTTTTAGCCTAAAAAACTGTTACACACAGAAAATCTAAAAAAATCATTAATTTATGGTCATTTTCTTCTTCTGTATATGTGCACGTGTGTGTGCACATATTCTTTCCTTCTCTAGGTTTTCTGTACTAGTATATTCACAAAATTATACAACATAGAAACAAAGAAAGTGTTTCCAAAAATTATTTTCTCATAGGAAGGAATGCAAAGAAAGTGTCTTTGATAGATATTCTACCTACTTACCATATGGCACTTCCCTTATCATTCTTTTCATCATGAATCCTATCACACGAAAATCACCTTTACAGCTCTGGACATTTAATTTTGAGAATGGTAAACTGTTATAAATATTAGTAACTTGTGAAATAGCTTTAACATAATGAAGAAAATAATTTTATTTTCATTACATGTTAGAAAATTCTCTTCAAATCTACCTATGGAAGAGTAATCAGGCATGCTCTCTTAACAGGGGAAGTATGTGCCTGAGAGACTAAGAAATTCCAAAGAGGAAAAAAAAAAAATGTCTAGAAAAGGAAAACTACCCAGAAGACTCATATGTTTCCTTTCATAAAGTGGCAATGGTAACAGACTTTATAGTTTCTCTACCACCCACCACCACCACTACCAACACACACACACACACACACACACACACACACACACATTTGGAATGTACTATTTTAGATAACCTGGTCCATCACCTTCCAAAGTGCTAGGGAAGAATCAAAGTCCTAGAGAAGCAACAGTGACTTGCCAAAGGACATCAACTTAATTATTATTCCAGAAAACCTTTATCTCCAAATTATTTAGCCTATTGTATATGAACTAGAAGTAATATTTAAATTCACTTCAAAGCTAGCATCTTTGCCAGTTCAACTGATGTGTTTTTTTTTAAGTTTCCATTTCTCCCTGTCTCCTAGTCATGATATTTTATTTAGAGTGAATGCTGAAAATAATGCCATACTGAGGTGGAAGTTTATTTAGCCTTCAACTAATTTCTGCGCAATGAAAGAAATAATCAGTAAATAATTAGTTAATGAAATGAATTAGTTTAAATACCTACCTATATTGCTATTCTTAACATTTATTGTGAAAAATTATATTTTTAAAGGGATTGATTCTCTTTAGCCCTCCAGTTTCCTTGGACTAGGAACTTCTCTAAATACACTATTGGCTAGATTCTGCCTTTTCACTCAGTCTTTCTCTGGAGAGATTAGGCAAGAGCTAGCATTTATAGCTCTGCTTTGCTCTTTTTCTTTTGGAAACAAGCCTGCCTCAGAAGACACATATATTCTTCCCTTTCCTGTTCTAAGTCTTATTGGCAGGTCCTTCCTTGTGTGGACTCTTGTTATTGGTAAATCAGTAGGCAGTGTTGGCAAATGTGTTAGTTTTGGTAGCTGGCTTCATTAACTTTTACTCTATAGTAGAAAATAATGTTTAATTGGAGTTGCCAGGTAGGAGTCCCTCAGATATTAAAATTTTTTCTGTTTTAAAAGCAATCTGAGTTTTAGCTCTTGAAAACAATTCATTTAAATTTCCAATAATGATTAAAATTCCTTTTAAATTAGAATTGCCAATGCTTTGACCTTTGAGGAGGGTTCCTTAGACATAAATCCTACATTTAAACTTTTTTCTTTAAAGCATGGTATTGGATGTTGACTTTTTACAGTTCTAAGCACTGTTAACAATATCAGGAAGGTGTTTTGAGAGAGATCAATGGAAAGTTAAACATTCTACATCTAACGAAAATACACTTCTTTTTGATTCAGAAAATAAAATCAGATTTTTGAAAAAAAAATCAGGTTTTCTAAAAAAAGGGGGGTGGGGAGTGCATGTTACTTTGACTCTCATCCTCTTTAATTTTTTTGGTATTATCTTTCAGTATACATGAGAGACTATTTGTCTTTGAAGCTCCCCTGAGAACTCAGTAGAAATATGAAGAGACATTTCAGACTTAAGACAAATGTATTCTGAAGTTGAGCATTATGGAAGACATAAACGAAGGCATATAGAAAAGAGTTACAACATTTGAATCAGGTAGATCTGACACTGGCTGTTTAGCCTTCAGTACAATATTTATCCTTTTGAACTCCAGTTGTGCCAATAATAAAATAGAAATAATGCTACTTCACAGAGTTATGAGACTAAAATCTGATAACTTTCTGTGGCTGGTGCAGAGTAGGCATACAACAAATGGCAGGTCCTACTCATGGTATGTAAAAGTAAATCTGAATTCATTAGCATTGAAAATTAACTTATTTACCAGACAAAAATCCAAATTAATATTATCTCAAATTCCTAGTCTATAGGTATACTATATAGAATTGGCAAAGTTTGAGCTTTATGGCCAATTTTTCTAAGTATAGAAAGACTATCCTGAAAAAACATGGCATTCATTGGGAATTCATCAGTATAAGAGAGAATCTTAAATTTAATTTAATTTTTTTTAATTTTAATTTTTAAAACTTTAATTTTAAAATTTTAATTTTTAAATCTTAAATTAAAATTTGCAGAAACAAATCAGATTGCAACATCTGGTCCATGGAACTTCATAAGACGTCTGGAAGAAAAGGATAAAATTTCATTCCAGATATGTAAACATGCAGATACATGTTTTATTCTCTTTTGTTTTTAGTTTCTTTTCCTAAGAGATTACACAGAAAAAATATGTGGTGTATGCCATCATCAGCATGCCATTTAATGATTTATTGTTAAATCTCCATATATGTGATTAAACTTACCACCAGAGGAAACCTTTTAGCTTTCTATTCATTAAAAACAAAGTCCATATGGTAGTTCTTTTTTTTTTTTTTTTAATTTTTTAAATTAACAAATAATGTATTATTTGTTTCAGGGGTACAGGTCTGTGAATCATCAATCTTACACAATTCACAGTGTTCACCATAGCACATACCCTCCCCAATGTCCATTACCGAACCACTCCATCCCTCCCACCAGCAATGCTCCAGCAACTCTCAGTTTGTCTCCTGAGATTAAGAGTCTCTTACAGTTTCTCTGTCTCTCTGGTTTCATCCCATTTCATTTTTTTCCCTCTCTTCCCCCATCATCCTCTGCCTTGTTTCTCAAATTCCACATATCAGCAAGATCATATGATAATTGTCTTTCTCCGACTGATTTATTTTGCTTAGCATAATACCCTCTAATTCCATCCATGTCTTTGCAAGTGGAAATATTTCATTTTTAATGACTGTGTAATATTCCATAGTATACACATAACAAATCTTTTTTATCCATTCATCTACTGATCAAAATCTAGGCTCTTTCCATAGTTTGACTATTGTGGACATTGGTGTTATAAACATTGGAGCACATGTGCCCCTTTGGATCACTACAGTTGTATCTTTGGGGTAAATAAATACCCAGTAGTGCAATTGTGGGACATAAGGTATCTTCATTTTCAACTTTTTGAGATACCTGCATACTGTTTTCCAGAGTGGCTACACCAGCATGCATTCCCACCAACAGTGAGGGAGGGTTCCCCTTTCTTCACATCCTCACCAACACCTGTCATTTCCTGACTTGTAATTTTAGCCATTCTGATTGGTGTGAGGTCATATCTCACTGTGGTTTTGCTTTGTATTTTCCTGATACTGAGTGATGTTGAGAACTTTTTCATGTGTCTGTTGGCCATTTGGATGTCTTCTTTGCAGAAATGTCTATTCATGTCTACTGCCCATTTATTTGTTCTTTGGGTGTTAAGTTTCTTAAGTTCTTTATAGATTTTGGATATTAGCCCTTTATCTGATATGTCATTTGCAAATATATTCTCTCATTCTGTAGGTTGTCTTTTAGTTTTGTTGACTGTTTCCTTTGCTGTGCAAAAGCTTTTTATCCTGATAAAGTCCCAATAATTCATTTTTGCCCTTGCTTACCTTGCCTTTGCTGATGTTTCTAGAAAATGTTGCTGCGGCTGAGGTCAAAGAGGTTGCTGCCTGTGTTCTTCTCAAGAATGTTGATGGATACCTGTGTCACATTAAGGTATTTCATCCATTTCGGGTCTATTGTTGTGTGTGGGGTAAAGAAATGGTCCGTTTTGTTCTTCTCCATGTGGCTAATTTTCCCAACACTATTTGTTGGAGAGACTGTCTCTTTTTCAATTGGCCATTCTTTCCTGCTTTATCAAAGATTAGATGATCATAGAGTTGAGGGTCCATTTCTGGGCTCTCTATTCTGTTCCATTGCACTATATGTCTGTTTTTGTTCCAGTACCATACTGTCTAGATGATTACAACCTTGTAACAGAGCTTGAAGTCTTGAATTGTGATGCCATCAGGTTTGCTTTTCTTTTTTTAACATTCTTCTGGATATTCTGTCTTTTCTGGTTCCATACAGATTTTAGGATTATTTATTCCATTTCTTTGAAAAAAAGTTGATGGTATTTTGATAGGGAGTGCATTAAATCTGTAGATTGCTCTAGGTAACATGGACGTTTTCACAATATTTGTTCTTCCAATGCATGAGCATAGAACATTTTTCCATTTCTTTGTGTCTCACTCAATTCCTTTCATGAGTATTGTATAGTTTTCTGGGTACAGATTCTTTGTCTTTTTAGTTAGATTTATTCCTAGGTATCTTGTGATTTGGGGTGCAATAGTAAATGGAATCAGTTCCTTAATTTCCTCTTCTTCTATCTCGTTGTTGGTGTATAGAAATGCAACTGATTTCTGTGCACTGATTTTATATGCTGACACTTTACTGAATTCCTACATGAGCTCTAGCAGTTTTGGGGTGGGGTCTTTTGGGTTTTCCACATAAAGTATCATATCACCTGCAAAGGGTGAGAGTTCAACTTCTTTGCTGATTTGGATGTCTTTTATTTCTTTTTGTTGTCTGATTGCTGAGGCTAGGACTTCCAGTTCTATGTTGAATAGCAGTGGTGATAGAGGACATCCTTGCTGTGTTCCAGACCTTAGGGGAAAAGCTCTCAGTTTTTCCCTATTGAGAATGATATTCATCATGGGTTTTTCATAGATGGATTTTGTGATATTGATGTTTATGATATTTATGGTAAATATTTCTTTATCATTTGTATATCATTTATATATTTAAAAATGATATTTATCATAATTTATGATATTGATGTATTTTATGATATGATACCCTCTATCCCTACACTGTGAAGAGTTTTAATCAAGAAAGTATGCTGTACTTTGTCAAATGCTTCTTCTGCATCTATTGAGAGGATCATATGGTTCTTGATCTTTAATTAATGTATTGTATCACAATAAGTAATTAATGTACTGTTGGATTGTATTGGCTAGTATTTTGGTGAGAGTTTTTGCATCCATGTTCATCAGGGATATTGGTCTGTAGTTTTCCTTTCTGATGGGGCCTTTGTCTGGTTTTGGGATCGAGGTAATACTGGCCTCAAAAAATGAGTTTGGAAGTTTTCCTTCCATTTCTATTTTTGGGAATGGTTTCAGAAAAAAAGGTATTAATTTTTCTTTAAATGCTTGGTAGAATTCCCCTGGGAAGCCATCTGGTCCTGGGCTCTTGTTTGTTGGGAGATTTTTTATTACTTCTTCAAATTCCTTGCTGTGTTATGAGTCTGTTCAAGTTTTCTATTTCTTTCTGGTTCAGTTTTGGTACTTGTATATCTCTAGGAATGAACCCATTAGATTGTCTAATTTGCTGGCATACACTTGCTCATAATATGTTCTTAAAATTGTTTGTATTTCTTTGGTGTTGGCTGTGATCTCTCCTCTTTCATTCTTGATTTTATTAATTTGGGTCCTTTCTCTTTTCTTTTTGATAAGTCTGGCCAGGGGGTTATCAATCTTATTAGTTAGTTCAAAGAACTAACTCCTGCTTTTGTTGATCTGTTCTCCAATTCTTTTGGTTTCTGTTTAATTGATTTCTGCTCTGATCTTTATTTCTCTTCTCCTGCTTGGTTTAGGCTTTCTTTGCTGTTCTTTCTCCAGCTCCTTTAGGTGTAGGATTAGGTTGTATACTTGAGAGCTTTCTTGTTTCTTGAGAAAGGCTTGTATTGCTATGTACTTTCCCCTTAGGACCACCTTTGTTGCATCCCAAAGATTTTGAACAGTTGTGTTTTCATTTTCATTTGTTTCCATGATTTTTTTTTATTCTTCTTTAATTTCCTGGTTGATCCATTAATTCTTGAATAGGATGCTCTTTAGCCTCCATGTATTTGAGTTCTTTCCAACTTTCTTCTTATGATTGAGTTCAAGTTTCAAAACATTGTGGTCTGAAAACATGCAGGGAATGATCTCAGTCATTTGGTACTGGTTGAGACCTTATTTGTGACCCAGGATGTCATCTATTCTGGAGAATGTTCCATGTGCACTAGAGAAGAATGTGCATTCTGTTGCTTTGGGATGGAATGTTCTGAATGTATCTGTGAGGTCCATCTAGTCCAGTGTGTTATTTAAAGCCCTTATTTCCTTGTTGATCTTTTGTTTAGATGATCTGTACATTTTAGTGAGAGGGGTGTTAAAGTCCCCTACTGTTATTGTATTATTGTCTATGTGTTTGATTTTGTTATTAACAGGCTTATAGAATTGGCTGCTGCCATATTAGGAGCATAAATATTTATAATTGTTAGATCTTCTTGTTGGAGACACTCTTTAAATATGATATAGTGTCCTTCCTCATCTTTTCTTATAGCCTTTGGTTTAAATCTAATTTGTCTGACATAGGGATTGCCACCACAGTTTTCTTTTGATGTCCATTAGCATGGTCAATAGTTTTCCATGTTCTCATTTTAAATCTGGAGGTGTCTTTGGGTCTAAAATGAGTAT